CATTTGGAAAATTGGGCCATAGATGGGCTATAGTTTGGGCCTGTATGATTCTGAGATATTGGGCCATTAGAAATGCCAAATGTTTGGACTGGACTAAATGGTTGGTCCTTTGAATAAGGCCATGTAGAGATATAGGCCCAATTTTGAAAATTGGGCCATATGTTGGGCTTTGAGCCATAGTTAGAATTTGGGCCTTTGGATTGGGCCCTGAGCTTGAGTCAAGCTAAGATAGGGGTAAAGTAGTCTTTTGCCCCAAGTATGAACTTATTATGGTTATGAGTTGGAACCCAATTATTAATTGGGTGTTATTTTGATGATTGACAGATTCGGGAATCTGTCATCCAGCAGCTAGGGTTTTTTCGGCAGGACTTCAACAGTGTGAGGTGAGTCTTCCTCCAGTAGGAACGGGTCTAGGGCACCAAGGCCGGCCCGTTTAAGTAGTAGAGTATGTCGGGGTTAGCCCGATGCAGTTTATATGTTTCCGGACTTCGGTCTGATGTCGGGGCGGTCCCGAGAAGTAGCTAAGTATGCTTGATGTCTTTATGATTCATGCATGTATATGTGTTATGTTTTATGTGTTCCGGGCTTCGGTTCGATGTCGGGCAAGCCCGATGCAGTATATGCGATTATGTTATATGTTATGTGTTAAGTGTTCCGGGGTAAGCCCGATGCCGGGGCAAGCCCGATGTATGTTAGTTATTATGCCATGCATTGTATGTTCCGGGGCAAGCCCGATGTATGTTAGTTTATATGTTATGACTATATGTTCCGGGCTTCGGTCCGATGCCGGGGCAAGCCCGGTGCAGATCATGTGATTATGTTATGTGTTTATGATATGTGTTATGTTGTGTATGTGCCGGGGTAAGCCCGATGTCGGGGTGAGCCCGATGCGGGGCAGGAGTCCGATGTCGTGTAAGCCGATGTCGGGATTCGTCCCGATGCAGTTGGGCGTAGTCCCAGATTTATGTGATTGTTATATGTTATGTGTATGGTATGTGGTAGATTGGGGGAGACTCACTAAGCTTCGTGCTTACAGTTTTCAGTTTTGGTTTCAGGTATTCTGTTTTCAAAAGAGGAGCTCGGGAAGATTGCAGTGCACACACCATTTGTTTAGTCTGGGATGTTTATACTCTGATACATTTTGACATGTGACTTGATACATGACTTATGATTTTTATGTGATGAGGATATTTATGGTTTTAATAATGATTTGAAAACGAAATTTTTGGGCTGTATTTTTGGGATGTTTCACAAGCCTTAAGTTTTTCTATTTTCCTTTATATTTATTTGTTTATGTTTGTTTATGTTCATGCATAATGGCTAACATTATAAATTATGTATTATCTCAACACTATAAAAAACCAAATACCTTAAAAGTCAAACACTCACAAGAGTTGTAAATTGAAACGCCTCAAACGAACCCTTTTCAATCGTTTGGATGTTTATGTTTATTTGTGTTTGTCAATGTTTGTTTATGTGAGTTAATTTATGTTAGTTTAGGTTCATTTATGTGTCTGTGTTGGTTGGGTTGTTCAATTAAACAAACAAATAAAAAACAAATGCTCAAATTCATTTCACTCAATTTATTTAAGAGAAATTAAAAATCCTTCTATATTTTATTTCTAGCATCCTTCTACCCACATTAAATGATGACAAGTGGACTAAAATATTATCAATTTCATTAAATGTGTCATTAAATATGACACATGTCAACATTTGATATGATAAGAGGATAAGTAGGAATAAAACGTAGAACGATATTTAATTTTTCCTTATTTAAAGCCCTAAGTTGTGTGTCGGTGTTATTTAAGTTGATTGATTATTGTTTATTGTCTAAAAAATAAACAAACATATCAAACTTATAATTTTTATACTCTAAAATCATTTGATGCATTTTTAAGAAATAAAATATATTACAACATGCAGATTGGATGATCACAATTTGAATGTGAATGCTATAACTTTATAAAATAGAAACAAACTTTCAGTTGACTTGTTTGTTATAGGATATCATACTTTTGTTCTTCACAGAAGTTTTTAATCTCATGTTGAAGAGAAGTGTATAAACTAGAGAAAGAAAAAAGATTTCAAGTATGATTGAAAATGCAAGAAACATAAGATAATTAAGTTATGCTTTGTTGATGACCTGATGATGAGCCTTTTATCATGGTGATTCTGTGTAATGCATGACATGTGTTATCTTCTATCTTCAATGCCAGTAGTTTCCTTATTCCTCCATTAATCAATCATCAAGGAAATTGAGAAGTTAATGAATTAAAGTATTTTTTGGTGTAGTGGAGAAATGAAAAGAGATAAAGCTAAAGTTGGAAGAATATTCCTATCAACGTGTGGAATAAATTTTAGGAAGTGGTTGAGTGAATGGAAGTAGGTGATGGAGAGAATTTGTTGTTTTGGTCAATAAATAAAGGCTACTAAGGTAACAAAGTAAGTAATACAAATCTACAATGCTAATATATTTTCTACTTTTGTCTTCTGTCTTCAGTACAATTATTGGGATAAAGCCAAGAACTAATACTACAAGAGGGAAAAAGATAATAGCTTAGTAGGAATATCACATGCGTTGGTTTGGTTGGAATAAGACACCCAATTAATAAAAAGAAGATATCTCATGTTTCATTCAAAAATTTATAAATAAAAGAAAGTTACAAGTTTAATACAATACTTAAGATACTAATATACACACATACACACACTCATGCACAATATAGATACTAATATACACACTCATGCACAATTTAATTTACGCTAAAGTCTGACATATCTAATTGAGGCATTTCATCGAGCACATTGTGTGCATCTTTTTTCCAGAATTTTAATCTCCACACTCTACCGCTGGATAACAGTAAGATGTCAATGGTGGTTTGATCTCGGCGGCTATGGCAATGGTTTGACGTTGACGGTGGTTTAACATCGGCGATGGTGGTTTTTTCGTCTATCACTCGTTTGAGATGTTATGTATATTTAGATCTATTATGGTTGTTCACTACTGGGAAAACCTTAGAAAAATTCAAAATATTTTCATCAAATCCTTACAAAAACACTATATTATTTTTTGTACGTTAAAACTCTTATATTTTTTAAAATATCTAATTTTAGGCCTTGAGTTCAGTAAATGCTAAATAGCAAAAAAAAAAAAACAAATGTTAGGTAATCGATTCTCAACGGTTTGAAGGTTACAATCTATTAGATTAAAATTTTTTCAAAAAATAAAAGGTTTTGATGTACTAAAAAAATAATATAATGGTTTTTTTAATGTTTAAATGAAAATATATTTGGTTTTTCTAAGGTCAAAAAGACTTAAATAAGACTTTCGGAAAATATAAAGGTTTTAATACACTAAAAAATAATATAGTGGTTTTTTTAAGAACTCGATGAAAATATGTTGAGTTTTTTTAAGAATCGGATAAAACCGAATTGTCCAACTGTCCAATTGGATCGAACAATTTCGTTCAAATGTTTAGACTTTTGGATTGGTTTTCGGCAAAACCGAGTTATTATTTATGAATTTCCATATTGGTTCTAGTTTATAAAACAAGAACCGAACAATAAAAAAAACTGAATAAAAATTTGTTCTTTATTTATTTTTTATATATATTTTTAATCATTTATAAATTTACTACATTGTTTTAGTAATAGATTAGAAAGTTTCATCAAATATAATATATCATTATGTACTTCTATTTAAAAGTTTTTTGTCTATAAAATATTAAATTATAATATATTTTCTTAATGGTTGTTTATAAATTTTAATAAAGAATAGATTAAATTTAAATGTTATGTCCAAATATAAATAGATATCATGCATGCTAAATTTAGGGGAAAATGACTTATAGGGGTAATCATCTTTGTCGTTTTGTTTACATTTAGGTAACTTCTTTATTTTTGTACACATTTGAGCATTTAACTTGTTATATGCGTTCACATATTGTCATTGTCAACGGCTATAGCAGGTGACAATAGTAATATGTGAATAAATTAACAAGTTAAATGGTTAAATATGTACAAAAAAAAAGTTGTCTAAATGTGAACAAAACGAAAAGTTAATTATCCTGATAAATCATTTTCCCCACTTTTAATAACGATTTTATTTTTCATATTTGTTTGTATTATTTTTTTCAAACGTTATTTTTAAAATATTCATAATTTCCTAAA